ACAGGAACAATGACTGGCACCAGACATATAACTTAAGAAACTGAAGAACAATAACAATAGTGTGGCAACATGAAAAGAACAATCTGTCCTATCAAGTAGTCCTTAAATTCCCCCACAACATGCAGCTGGTTTACTATTCATTTCCAAGGACCTGTTGCTTTATGTGCACCATCTAATCATCAATTGTAATAGCAGGTATGCGAAAGCACTACTTAAACCTGCACTCAAGGAAAACACCTTTGCAAATGGAAAAACATGAGCCACTTTGTTTGGCAATATCAAAATAATTATATGGAGAACACTGGCTTCAAAGCGAGCTGTCTGTTGAGAGTGTCCCTGCAGTTGTGCTAACCAGATGTTTGGATGGTACAAGATGTTGAATCCAGTATTAATGACAAGCTTCATGAAAGGACAGAGAAAAGGAGGAGCAGAGAAGAAGGAAGCATAAAAGCTATTCATCGCCTCTATCCAAGAATGAGAATGAGACATCAGCGCATTAATGAAGAGGTCAAACTCAGCACTGTGTTGGACTTTTTGTTCGGAAAACTTATTTTGTCCCTATTTGGTGATGAGAGCTGTGCATGCTCTCCTACATGAGGAAGTGTTCTCCTGCAAGGTGCTGGCGTGTTATGGGTCTGACATATTTCCTGTGTCCTGGCTTTTATTATCTTTTATGATCCCTGAGGTGATGCCTGTAATAAGCGCTGCTATAGCCTTAACTAAGCCTCAGGATGGCGGTTAAAGTGTGGAAGGAAAAACAAATACCAGGCTTAGCATGGCACAGGGAGTGGAGAACCAAGGCCAGGCCAAAAAAACAGTCATCTCTTGTAGCTTCTGACCAGAGAGTCCCAGAAACATTCAATTATACTTCTGTTAGAAAGGTGGGAATCATTTATCAAATTAATGTTTTTGGCTATTTTTATATAAAATAATAACTTTAACCGTAAAAATAAACGACACTGCCCAAAATGTATTTTTAGATGTTTTATTCAATATTTCAAGTACCTTTGGAATAGTGAGAAACTATTAAATGATACATAACTGTAAAAAGCATTCTAATATACATATATATGTATACTTTTTACAGTTATGTATCATTGGAATCACCATTAATGTTTACATTACATCAACATTACATCATGAACCAAACTTCATACTTCATGAACCAAATTTTAAAATTTTATATTAAAAACAAAAAAAAATGATATATATATATATATATATATATATATATATATATATATATATATATATATATATATATATTATTTAAAAATTTGGTTCATGAAGTAGTGAAATATTAACATCAATGGTGATTCTAAACTCCTAGTCTAGCGGGAGCAGATGTAATCTCACAACAAGAATGTCTGGGAACAACCAAGTAAATTTTGGGAGAAATGTGGGTGGAAACATAGACTTATTGGGGGAAGAACAAACTGATAAATTGAAACTGAAATTATTAACCAATCCAACACTTCCTGAAGGATGAACTTAAAGTAAGGGGCCATGAATCGCTTGTCTGACGGACAAGAAACCTGTCGTTAGCTCATAGATGTAACATAAGTTAGCCTGACTGAGAAGTCCCCCTAAACCTCCATCAAGCATGTAGATGTGAGTTGCATGTGCAAATAGTTTATTACATGCAGAAAGAAATCCCTTCTTGCAAGAGAAAAATACTATACTATCCTTTAGGTTTAGAAGTTATCACTGAGCTAGTGATAAAAGCTGACATTTGGGCTACCAGTGGCTGTATATGTCCTCTGCCTTCACAGTTTCTATGATACAGCCAGAGTAAATGTGATGTGGAAGACAAGCTATCGGATTTGCATTTGAGCTAATATATTGTACTTCAGAGCTTAAAAGCACACACACTAGAGCAGTAGTTTTCAACCTGTGACAACCTGTGTTGCAGTGGTTAATGAACTACAATTTTTTTTACAATACAGAAATGTTACCAAAATATTACTTTGATTACAAATATTACATTGATTATTATCATTGTCATTATCATATCACTATCATTTTTTGGTGCAAGTCAATGCAAAATGTCTCATTTTTTCAATCATATTGACTTAGTCCATCATAGATAAATGGTTAAAATCAGGGTCTTTCAAAAAGAAAGTTCCTGAGGCTGGGCCATCTACAAGTGAAGAAGCCACTGTATCTCAGACAAATAAAACTGATAAAAACAAGTATAAACCAAAACAAAGAAAATATAGCAATTAGTACCTAGCACGGGGCTTCACATGCGCATGAACTGAAAACAAGCAACTCCCGCTCTGTGTTGTATACTCAGAGGTCTTTTCAAATTAAGGTGTAAAGCCAAAAAATGTATGCTGTCACATGGAGACAAAACATAGCAAATGTAACCTCGAATTGAGCCAGAACTCCATTTGCAACTTTTCTCTCTTCAGCCTGACATTCAGCATTTGGTTGCCGCCAAACAACATTAGCTATCCAATTAAGTGAGTCAGAAAAAAATCATCAGATCGGGCCACAGAAGCATTTGTGGTCATTTGTGTGGGCAGCTAGTTGCAAATGGTTGGAAACCCCTGAACCAGAGGAATTTGGGAGCGGGTTTTAGAGAGGGCATACCCTTGTTAGCGGTGGATTTTGCCACAACCCAGCACCAAAAGTTTAACAAGTGGTCCCCTGAACTGTATTCTCATTACAAGATCAAATCTGGCCCCATAAAAATTATGTAGTTTCTAGAAAAAGACCAATCTTGCTGGAATGAGCACAGGCTGATCAGAAGACCATCAACAAGGCAGGATAGAAGCAGGCAGCCCACCACAGAACTCTAAATCACACACTGCTTTAGCACGCTGCGTATTGCTGCGTGTATCTGCAAAATAGTAACTTTACAGGGGAAAGGAAAAAAGCATTCTTAACATTTAATGTAGGTTAATGTAAAAAGGGTTTATTCCAGGAAATTTTGGAGCATTTCTATTGGTCCATACTCCATGACATTTTTATGCAATGTAAAACTGCTGTGTTCAAATGATGTTGAAAATTAAAAATCAACAAAAATTGAGATACTTGGTTGGTTTGGATAGCAACAGTATGTAGAGTGCATGTTCACACTGGCACACTCTGCACAGCATGGATCCCACAGCCTGTTCTGTCGAAGCTGCAAGGTCAGGTGCTCCAATAGCACTGTGAGTCCTTTTACATATACAGGATGCGTTCCTTTAATACATAGACATCCCTGTATATCTGTCATAACTAAAGGAGCCGCTGTAGTTCAGGATGAAGCCAGATGTTCAGCGTTACTGTAAACGGAGTATGTTCTATTACACTCGGCCAAAATGTTTTTCTCCAACAGATCACGCAGTACCACTGATAGTCGGAAAGAGCCAGAGGCCAAGGCTCACCACAGAACCCTTTTACCACTTGAAACAACAGAGCACATACATGTAACCCCCACACACACCCTTCACAGGACTGGCGAGGGGAAGCCTACATCCACATATCATGTTCCTGCAGATACTTCGGAGCAGCGGGAACTGAAATATAGTAATCAGAAGGATAAATAATTACAGTAAGAGAGAACGTTCTGGATTTGTGCAAAGGAAGAGGCTGGCTGCCCATGCCCTGTGCACTCTTGCAATCGAAGGAAGCAGAAAGGGCTGCTGAGTATTGGATTAGCCAATGAGCTGTGTGAGTCTGCAGGAATTTTGCTGATTAGCAAGCTTCTAATCAAGTGGTTATGCTGGGCTGGTCTTAGGCTTCTCTGGGCGGGGGCTCTGACACAGCTGCCTCAGACATTGAGGGAAGTCTCTGAAGGATATTGCAAGGAAAAGCTGAGTCAGAGACAGAGACTCTATTTCTTTCTCTCTCTCTCTTTCTCAGGTCCAAATGGAAGGCCAGCAGTGAAGCAAGGCCATGGGGATTGATGACACATGTTGGGAGTGGTGGGTAATTTGTAGTCATACTGCAACAGGGAATTTGATTTCATTTCTGGCTGAAGGAGCTGCCCATGGTGTCAGGGCAACGGACAGTTTGTACAGCTCTTCTGCCACTTATCAGATCCAAGAACTTTTGCTAAATAAGAGCAGTGTTTGAGATCTGTAAGTGAACTCAGGCAAGGTCACTTTATTTTTGACCTCCTCTCCTTCTCTCTCTCACCTCATGGACAAACAGAACTGAGCTGATAAAGAGCAAAGCCTGAGTGCGTGGGCAAACACAGGGTTAAGATCAAACACAGCATTTGCGCAAAAAAAACAAACCAACACGTCACACTCATTGATGAGATCTGCTATCTAGCATTATTTTGTGGATTTGGATTTGAAGATATGATTTCAGGCAGAACAGTGGAGGTTCCTGTGAAGACTGGTCAATTCTAATCAGTTGTCAGTTTAAGGTAACTAGGGACAAGTCAGAATTTTCAACTATTCATAAAAGTAAAGAAAGTTTCATTAGGATTTTGACATGCAAATTAGCTTCTCTCTAATATCATACATTCTCATATTAAAGAATCATGAGATGTCTGAACTTTATACTCCACCAGAGTATAAATACTATAATATAGATTAATATAAAGCAGTGATCAGAAGATGCTGAGCGCCATGTTTTTATAGAGCTACATTTTGTCCACTGGCTGCATGCAGTGTGTCGTAGCTTGTAGATATTTTTGGAGTGGGGACTATTATTCAAATATTTTTTGAATTAAATTTGACGGAAATGCCTATTCCTACCACTAACCTCACTAAGGAGATTCCCATGAAAAAGTGACCATGATCCTCTCAGATGTTAGATGATGCCCTAAGCAACAGAAAGTGCTCCACCAAGCAGAAGCTCCAAGTACACGTATAATAACTTCTCTGGCCATGTTGCTGCTTTTCCTTCTGCTTCCAATCAGGCACTGTATAATTGGTGGTGATCGCCTCTCTATTTTGCCCTCTCGCTTTTTCCCTCTCTCTTTTTAGTTACAGCGATTCACTCTCTTTCCTTTCCTCCTCTGCTCACTCCTGGGAGTAATGGCTCTTTCTCTTACTCACTTGGCCTGGTGCATGCATTCTTTCCAGCGTGTCTTGATTACTCCATCTTGCCAAAGGTTTGGGCGTTTCTGTTTGTCTTCCCCACTGTATCTAAGGCTGTGGCACTGAGAGTCAGTAGACGGAAAAACACTGCAGAGAAAAACTAACACCGCCTGGTTCACCTGACAGAACAGTTCGGACTGGAGTCAGCTGTGCGAATAGAGCTGTGGTCTTTCCCTTCCCAGCGGAGACCAGATCAAGGACATGCAGCCATCTGCAAACACTTTACAGGGACAAATGGGCTGCTGCGCCGCAAGTGTTGTTGATCAGTGGGTAACACCTCTTATCAGCAGCACACGTGCTTTAAAGGCCTCCGCCCACAAACTCGCTTACGTTTTTCTCTCACTCTCTTACACCTTCACTCCCACTCTCTCTTGTTTGTCTTCATAATCAAAAGCCATTAGAATATATCACACCCAAAAGGCTCTGAATATGTTGCTATTATGACTAGCATCATAAGGGTTTACATCTTTTTACAAAGACTGAGGTGACTGCACCACCGTGATAGAGGCCCAATGACTGATCTAAAGCTCAGAGTTGCACTGCCTGTCAAATGTGTTTTTTCCACTTTCTAAAATATTTTAATAGAAATGAGCACATATATGAGGAAAACAATCAAACATTGTGACAACATATGTGACATGAAACCTATTTTCTTGTCCTGATGTCAGCACTCAAACCTTTCAGGTTTTTAAATCACTTTTGACCAAAAGATTATACCATGGCAACACAGACAACAATCTCGCAAGCTAGAAGCCAACGAAAAGGCGAAGAGAAAGATTTAAGATGAACATCCATAATTTGGTGACAAATGGGCTTTTATAAAATGTGTAACCTGCAACGACAAACTGTTAAACACTAAAAAGTCACAAAGCTGAAGTCAGCCTCTTGTTCAAATTTTTCCATTCCACCTTAAATGGTGCAGCAGTTCCATTCTGGCGCCTCAGGCACCATTTAAGGTGGAATGGGAAAATTTGAAGAAGAAGCTGGTGAATGAGAAGCGACTTCAGCTTCGTAAAAAGTCAAACATTGACAGACATTTTACAAGAAGATATTTTACTTTTGGGGAAAGGTTTCCTGCTGGAGATGTGAGAAAAGCGGCTATAGCTGAGCTAAAGCTTAAAGCAGAGCAAAGTAAGTCTGTGTTTATGTTTATATTCTATTTTTTAGCCTTTACTAGAACATCAGCACATACCAAGACATATTTACAGCCAATATGGTAAAACAGACATAAAATGTTTTGGCTCTGAAGGTAGTTTGATTTGGACAAAATGGCTCTTCTTAACATTTGGGCTGTCAACCACTGAATTAGGCAAAACCTGAATGTTGCAAAATTTTAGGAAATAACTGTTCTATGTTAATAAAATAATCACGCTTTTATTTTCTTATTTAATTGAAAACAGTGAAAATCAAAATTTCAAAAATGTCTAAGGTGTCCACACTTTCGACAGTCAGTGTTGATCATCCAGCGAACCTCTAGACGAAGCTCATTAGAGACACACTGCACATCTTCAGAGATATACTGCATTGCTTTTGCGTCAAAACAGACTGCTTGTGTTTGGGGACAGAAGCACTTAGATTTTTTTTCGTTTTGTTTTTCCTCTGAGGAAATCTACGCTGGGCTGTCCTGGCTTATAAATGACTGAGTCCTATTTGTTTCCATTGTGGAATCTCAGGTCTTCCTTCCAGCACGTGGGGAGCAAAGCTCACGTTACTCAAATAACAGAGTCACTATGACCCTGGTAATCAGGGAAGATTTACTTTCACCCTCCTGACTGCCTCATCCATCCTAGTCTGAGCACGGGGGTGCTGGGGTCAGGGCAGTGCACGACATGCACCATGATGGAGCGCACAAGCAGCTGTGCTTAATACGGCCCTGCTCCGAACCAGTCAAGACATAAAGCATCCCTGAGCTACAATGCAAGCTCAGGTATTTTATTCCAGATAAATGTTCACATTAAACATCTGAATTATGGGTCTTCTGCCGAAAACAATCCTAGTGGGGTAGAAGGCGACCTGAATGGTCACGAACTCATGCAGGGAGGAGCTGAAGGCCTCATAAACAACGTACAGCAGCGGGAAGTTCAATACGGGTGATCATGTGATCATGTTCAAATCTTTTATTATAAAAATTGAATTAAATTTGATTTGAAAAAGCCTAACCAAAGTAAATGAAGTAATGCAAAGTGTAAGGGTTGATCTGTTTTATTTATCTATTTACTTACTTATTTTAAACAGGACAGGACGAAAAGCCAATCTGAACTGTCTTGTGACTGACATGCCTGTTGTGTTGTTCTGAACTATGTGACCAGACAGTGTTCTGGATGACAGACTGCATCCTGTGACTTGTAATTCAATAAGATTTATAACCATCCCTGGCAAATACACTGACATGAGATGTTTAGCCTTGCTGGGCAGAGCCCTAATGCATTACACGAGACCACCTCCTCTTCTGCCGAAGTCTCTCTCAAGTTCCACCCGACCAAGGACGACAATCAAACAGTTTCACACCGTTTCCTGAACAGCAGGAAATCTTAACCACCCTTCTTGGATCATGAGACTGTAGCGGGGAACACAAGCACAGGAAGTTTACAGATGTTATTTCACAAGCTCTTTTTATTCTCCAGCAGCGTTTTTATTCAACAGCTCCACTTCGATAACAAACACTTTCCAGCTACTGTTGGCTGGGAGCGCAAAGCCAATCTCGTTAGGCTCGGACACTGTTTACTTTCTATAATTGGTGAGTGAGCTGCTCACAAAGGACTGTGTTATAGTCACAGGATATGGCTTTCAGAGTGCAGGTCCATTAGAGTCCACGGGCACGCCCTAAAGGCCGGGACACTGTGTGAAGCCATTGTTTCGCAGGAGGAGATGACTGGGGCCGAGCTGCCGTTACTGAGAATGCGAAAACCTGAGCGGCACAAAGAGAATCAAAGCCTGGGACGGGGGCCAGAGAGGAGGGACTCCAGAGAGAGCGGTAACAGTGGAGACTAAAGGCTGAAGCCCACTGCCAAAATCCCCCCTATATCCCAAGCCTCCAGGTCAGTGAGCAGTACAGTGAAGCTTCTCAGACCTGCAAGCACCCCTCCATTGCCTGCGACATGCTCATCGGTGTTGATTGCACTGGGCGACTGGGATTTCAGTTTTGAACAATTTGTAATAAGCCCTGAATGTTTTTACAACCAGACGAAAAAAATCTGGTCAGACTTCACACCATGTTTCCAAAAAGATGTTCAAAACACTGAGAACTTGTTACACAAAGAAGTACAGCATGTACTTGATGTGAGCAGGGATTACCTTGCTGGCTTTGACTATGTCAATTGACTAACTTTTATATGTGTTCATATCATTCATATCATGCAAAAGTCAAAAGTCAATCATTTTTTTCCACTCTTTGCCTTTATTTCAGCATCTATTCTTGTGTGAGTATTTTCTCTGTTAAAATTACAATAATCATTGTATTATCTTATTTTAATGTTGTTTCAATATTTTATGGTGCTTTTCTTCATAACGCAGATAAAAAAATGCTAGTAGTATGCTGGCTCAAAAGCTAGCTAGCTAAAATTCTAGTTCCAACAGGAAAATCTGAACAAGAAGCTAGCGAAGAGCTGACTTCAGCTTTGTATCTTCAAAGAATTAGGGGTGGGCGATAATAAATAATTGTCGCATGCCCCTCTCTATGAAGGCATATGATGCACTAAATTTAACTGAAGCCCAGCAGCGAGGTTCCTAAACTTTACTGTCCTCTGCATTCACTGCAGACTGGCATAGTCGGCTACAGAGCACCGCTAGAAGCCTGTTAATGAAGTAATGTTCTTTTTTAATTGAGGGTCCCATTTGTATCAAGGGGCAAGGGGCAAGACGACACTCAAAAACAAGGGGTAGGGGTAAAATAATTTAGGAAAATAAGTCACCAAAGATTACGGACCTGGGACTTGGACTATAAAGCTCTAGATCAATATTTCTCAACCCTGGTCCTGGAGGCCCACTGCCCTGAACATTTTAGTATTTTTCTTGCTTTAACACACCCACTTTAACTCGGTAAGAGGCTGTGAATGTGCTGATTCGTTGAATCAGGTGTGTTGGGAGCAAGGAAAACACCAAAAAGTGCAGGGCAGTGGGCTTCCAGGACGATGTGATTGAGCTAGTTTTTTAAAAATTAAACTTAGACACTACAGTTTGCTACCACTCTAAACAAAACTAATAAGTTAGGCAAACTACACACAAACAAAATTTGGGCCTAGATGTGTTCCAACCCTAACAACGGCCTTGGACAGGCCTACACCCCACGCGCAGAGCCCCGCGTTTCAGCAAAGTGAAGCTTTTCAATTACACCCTGCTGATAAATCATCCTTAATGACTAACTATCCCTGGCTGAAGCACAGCCTCAGAACGGGAGACGGCACAGTGGACGCCAAACGATCCTGAAAAGCACTGCTAGAAGGCAAGGGCAGGAGACAGGAACCTTCACATTGGAGCCTGCATCGCTGCCAGAGGAATGAGCGCCTGTCCCACCACTTTCCCTCTTACACCGCTCTCATGCAGAGGAGGGGGGTAGAAACAGTAAGCCACTTCTAAAGACGAGCTCTCTGCAGGAACATGTGCCCAAATGAGCCGTGACCCACTATGGCGCACATGCAGTCTCATGCCGGCCTGCAGACTCAGAACCAGATAAAAGCATTGCTACAAATTGCACATACATGTGTTAGGAATTAACAACATCTTTTACAGAATAAGTCCTAGCCCAGGGAAGGGTACTATTTAGCGAAGGCAATGTACATGGAAAGGAACTGCACCCCTTAAATAATGCAACAACACAAACAAATGGCAGAAAATATAATAATATATTGTCACAGTCAAAAACCAAGAAAAATAACTTTACAGGAGAAAGAAAAACACACATTTTAACGTAAAAATATTGTTACGTTAAAATGTAAGTGTGTTTTTCTTTCTCCTGCAAAGTTATTTTTCTTGGTTTTTGACAGTGACAATATATTATTATTATAATAATAAGCTTTAACATCAATAACTGAATAATAAGCCTAGACTTTAGGGGTCACAAAGGGCAATAATCATTTCAATTCTTTTAGAATAGCAGTACTACCTGTTTTAGCCTGGAAGGTGGTTACGGTTGGATCCTGTGTGCGTTTTCCTGCCTAGCCTGTGTATAAATGCAGTAGACCACCCTTGACCCTGTGTACTAAAACTCTTGAAACTCCTGAAACTCCTAAAACTAAGGAGGAGTCCCAGTACAGCAGGGCTGGTTGCTTAGAACACCCACATACAACACTTCCTTCCAAGCATTCAGACCCACACCGCTGTCAGCCTCCAAAACTTCACAAGCACATTTCTCTGCACGAGCACAGCAGACTCCACCCTCACTCCCTTACTCCCTCCCTCCTCCTCCCTCCCCAGCCTCGCAGGATATGCAACACACGAGTGAGCACCAGATGATTAACACTCTACCTTCCTCAAAACTGGCATGTCGCAATAACAGTGAAATAAATAGGCCACTGCATTCGCATTCTCGAATGTGTGCCTTGGAGAGGTTTGTCTACCTAAAATTCCCTGAAAATGCGAGCTCTGTTCTAATTGCATTCACATATGCAGCAGCCTCCTGGCAACATCAAAACACGAACCCACACAAGAAGGCTGTCGTAAGGG